TCAATGCATTCCAATGGGCTGAAAAACTCACCGTCCAGCAAAGATCCTCCATGGGGCGGCCATTTTGGGTGCCTGTAAAGCGAGGAATCGGTCCAAAAACACAGCGGGCGGCCATTCTGAAGCCGCCGATCAGCTGTTTTAAAAACGTCATAATGCGAAGACTCGGTTCCCGAAGTAGGGAACCGATCATCGCAAAGCAGATTTTGCCTATTGAAACATTGTTTTGCGATCGCAAAAGCGATCACAAAACAGTCATCTAGAGTGCTGTATCCACTTCTGGACACTGCACTAAGAATCATACCAAAAAAGTCAACCAAGTTCAGAGGAGGGCAACAAGGATGACCAGGGTCTGGAAACCAAGCCCTATGAGGAAAGACTGAAAGAACTGAGCACACTTAAGCCTTGAGAAAAGAAGACTGATGGGTGATATGACAGCACTTCTCAAGTACTTGAAAGGCAGTCATACAGAGGAAGGGCAGGATCTGCTTTCAATCATCCCAGAATGCAGGACATGTAATAATGAGCTCAAGCTATAGGAAGCCAGATTTAGGCTGAATATCAGGAAAAAAGCCTCAACTGTTAGAGCAGTACAACAATGGAACTAAATATCTCAGGAGATGGTGAGCACTCCAATGCCTACGGGCGGTGGGGGGGAGTTATAGATTATTATTATGCATTCAGTGGAAGATGTGTGCCTATTTTATATACTGCCCTAGTCACACCAAGACTCTAAAGCCAAACCACCCTAAATAAAACACCCCTGAATGCAATGCACAATAGACTGAACATATGCTACCTCGTTGTGTCTTCAGTACTAGATATACAGTATGATGCACAGATTGGTAGAAAAACTCCCTTCCCTTTCTGGAAATGAAAAAGACACTGTTCAAAATAAGGCATGTCCAACAGTGAGCATTTTCTTCACACTGTTTGCCAGCTGGCAGAGTAGTCAAGGCAGCAAATAAAACTTCCATACTCTCGTTCACTGGACATTAATGCTACAACAAATTTGCTTTTGTTGACAGCACCTTCATTACCTAATTTACTGCTTGTTCCTTCCACTGCAGTCCCTAAGTGGAAAAGAATTCGCTTCTTAATGTTGTATCACAGTATCTCAAATAAAATTGGAAGGGTGAATCTTACCAACAGCATAAAACATAAAATCTACTGGCTCAGACTTTGTGCATCTGTAGCTCAATGGTTCAGGCAACTGGCCATGGAGCTAAAATTCTCTCTTCTCTCCCAGGAGAAGAGCTAGCCGCTCAGACTTTGTGCATCTGTAGCTCAATGATTCAACTCCCCACTGTGCCTCCCAGGAGAAGAGCTAGCTTGTTTGTCCTTGGGTATATAAGAAGAGCCCTGCTGGATCAGGTCAAGGGCCCATCTAGTCCAGCTTCTTGTATCTCACAGTGGCCCCAACCAGATGCCTCTGGGAGCACATGAGACAAGCTGCACAGTCCCAGGATGCCCCTCCCCCGAAGAAGGGAATGGTGAACCATGTCTGAGTATTCTCTACCTAGAAAACCTTGAAAAGCATTACTGTAAGCCAAAGCTGACTTGATGGCACATTATTTTTTATTACTGTTATACCAAGTATGGTTGATTTCTTTCAAGAGACAAAATTCATTTCCAAGATGTTCATAGGAGCTAAACGACTAAACGAACGAACGAAAGGCAAGCAGCACCAGCCACACCATAAGCAGGCATTGAACCATGGGCTGTTCCTCTTCCAGGACTTAGTGTAACAGCAAAGCAGCCAGTAGAAACAGTTACACTGCAGAAAAAGGTGGGTGGTGATAACCCAAGTTATCTTGGGTAACCCTTGTGTTACCCACGGTAACGTGGGTTACTTCTGCCTTTACTACAGGGAAAACGAGAAACTAATTACTGGGAACTCGTTACTCCTAAGGAGTTGCTTCCAAGTTCCCGGCTCGTTTGAATGCATCCCCCAAAATTAGGTGAACTCGCCATCTCGACCAACGGTAATCCGTGCCAAGGATAAAGGAGGCAACAAAACAAGAGGCAGAGAGAGAGCGATTCTGCTCAGCTGGGAAGTGCGCCCGGGTGCACGTGGCCCGCCTCGGCCGGCGAGCCGGGGGCCTGCCTGAGACCGTCCGGCTGCCTTTTAAGCCTCTTGCCCGGAGCCACTGACCAGCCAGCCCCGAAGGCCGAAGGGGAAACCACGGCTATGGATTTCAGACGCTGACATCCCGCCCGGGTGGGGAATTCATTCAACGCCCACCTCCCATGCCAAGCAAATATATCACCACGGTGTAGAGAGATCGCTGCTGTTATCATCATCATCATCACCAGCACCACGCAAGCTGAAATGCCTCCTCTTGATATGCATCTGGAGACACGACGGATGGAGGGACGGTCCCTTTTGCAAATCCAGAAAATCCGGGAAAGAGACCACCAGGACTTACTGGGAACTGTCAAGCCGGAGGGGACCGGGGGGGGGGGAACACCTCATTGGTCTCAACGCCCGACGGAAGCATCACTGTAATTCACCACCGTCATCATCACTCCCTCCTCCTCTCGTGCGCGGAAAGCCGCCCCCCCAAAAAAACCCTAGCTGGCACCCTCCTCGGATCACCCCAAATCCCCATCGTGCTGACAGATCGCCAAGAGAGACAGTAATCCTCCACCGTTTCTGGCTGCAAACCGCGCAACCTGACCAAAGAGCCGATGAGCAATCATCTATACATCATCATCTTCTCGAAAGAGTCTGTAGGCCGGAGAAACGTCCATGAAATCGCAATTTGTCCAACTCTCTCTCTCCCCTGGGCGTACAGAAGAATCGGGGGCTTCCCCATCACTATCTTTTTTTTAAAGTTAAAGATCTAATTAATTCTTTTTAAAAGAACAAGTCAGAATAAAGGTGTGGCTGTTTCTAAGAGTCCTTACAATTTTGGGCGTAACATCCAGCAGGAAGTTCTCGCGCGCAAGGTCTCCTGAGAGGACCCCATTCATTGCACGGTGCTTGCGCAGGAGAATTTCCCTCCCCATCGTCCTCTTCCCCTTAACATTCGCTTTTTAGAGCTAAGATCCGAAGGAAAAGGGGGCAGAGAAGACTCCTGAAACAAGAAAACCACACTCAGAAATTGGGTTACCTTGCACCTTTCCGTCTTTTAAGGGGGAGAAAGATGGAGAGACTGATCCCCCCCTCTTTCACTCTTCGACAGCGCTCACGCAAGCTGAGAGGAGATCCAAGTAGGGCTTCCTCCTATTTATTTATTTATTTTATTTATTTATTCTATTTCTATCCCGCCTATCTGGTCAATGTGACCACCCTATGCTTAAAAGTACACAGGATTGCAATTTTAAAAACCAGGCTCCTGTATTTCAGCGCTTGGAGAGAGAGAGTAACCGAAAATGAACCCCTCACCCCCCTTTTGCTCCATCAGTTAAATTTAACTCCTCGCCCCCCCCTTTCCTCTCGCAGCAAGAGGAGAGAAAGGAAGACACAACCATGAAAATAAAATAAAATTTAAAAAAGACACCGAGGCCATGTTGACAAACTGGAAGCGGACTCTCGCTTGCTGTCAATCCTAAGCGTTTACTTGGGTCCTGATTAAC